CTCGTGTAGCTCCCTGCTGCTTGAGCTCTTTTGGTACAGCACTGTGCTTCAGCTGCAGAGCTGTGCAGGCACAAAACCTGTGTGTATGCTGTGCCTGAATTGGGGAGGGGGTGGGGGGTAGAGCTGCACATCTATACGTGGGAAGCAAGTTCTTATCACCTGCTGCCTGCAAGCCAGGCACATCCCCCTCACACATGAAGGCCGAGTTTTGCCCTGTGGTTTCCCCAAACACCCCCCTCCCTGCATCTCTGTGTAGCTGTTGCTCAAACAGGAACTGTTTTGCCTTCACAGCCTTTAGCAGATGATGCTTTAATCTCCCTTTGGCATCTCCCTGCCAGTTGCCAATGCAGCCATGTGCACATCTGAGAGCAAATTTTCCAGGACAGCACTGGGAGGTAAAATGCTTTCCCTATTTGTTTTCTCTCTGCTTTCATCCCAGCTCCTCCTGCTCCCTTCTATGACCCCTTTTTATATCCTTCCCACCTTTTGCCTCTGGCTGCAAAAGCAAATCACTACTTGTGGCTGGTGCTGGGACCCTTATATAGGTCAACACCTGTGATTCAAGAGTCTGAGCTGCAGTCATCCTGCAGCTGCTCCATGATGCAGGAGGGTAATTGGGCTTACCACTTCTTGTGCCACTTGCCCCTGCCTCTCTTCTTCTTCCTTGGCAGATCCAGAAGGGCCATGCTGAGCCAGCCCACCTGGCTGCAAGCTGCACAGAAATCCCTGGTTTGTCAGTCCAGGAGCCCAAAGCAACTGAAAGACCTTCCCAGAACCATGAGCATGGGGCTTGTCCTACTGCTGGAAAATGCTTCTGCATTGTCCTTTCAAGCAGACATCCAGAGCTGCAGTTTAAAATGTCACTCAGAAATGCTCTGTGCCTGCAGATGGAAGTGAGGAGATGGCATCTGCCAGCTGTTGGGTTGCTCTGCAAGGCTGTTTTGTCCACTGTGAGACCCCCTTGCCCTATCCAGAGATGCAGGTCCATACAGGAGTTACCTCACCACAGAGAAAAACGTTGAATGATGCAGAGCTGCCCTCCTTGTCACGTTCCTTCTTGGCTTGCTTAGGCATTTTTGAATCTCCTCTGAGCCCCCCACAGAGTGTTTTGTAGGGTCCTTAGCACTGAAAATCAGTCTCAGCATGAGCCTCAGTCCCTCTCTTATCAGCTTTCAGTAACAATAAATTGAAAGCAAATCCAAATCTTTGCCCCATCAGAAACCGCAGCTGCAAAGCTGTCCTATTGTTTCATAAGCTACTTTTATTTTTGAGCCTTCAGACCTGTGGCACATCCTCTGCAAAGGTTAAATTCAAAATTTGCTGCACAAGCATAGTGAGGAAAGTCTGTTTCTCAGCATACTTGAGAGTCCCCAACCCCCTCCAAAACAAAATGGAAGTGTCTCTGGTTCAAGGCAGCCTACAAGGCAGCGAGCTGCAGGAGCTGTAAGCTATTATTTTAGTTCCCAAGAAAAGTAATTACTATAGCAACCAACACATCCGAATGGCTCTTTGGCTGCTGCCGAGACACAAACAACTTGCACACAAAGGCACATCAGAAACATGCTGTGTAAAATGTTCTCGAGTAGCTCTGTGTTTTCCAGAGCTCTATAAAGTGTGCATAACAGGCTTCTGAGAAATGACTGCCAGAATAACAGCAAGCAATTGTGCCCTGCCACAATCCCAAAATAACCTAATCAATGGCTCAGTATATTTGCCCCTGAAGAGATGAAGCAAAAAAAAAAGCAGAGGCTCCATTTTAAGCCTGTGTGCCGGGAAGTTCCCAGCAGAGCTGAAGATACATTCAACAAACAGACAATAAAATGGTGGGGGAACGTCGCTGCTTTTGTTCTGCCTGCTGATTCCAATTCCCTGCAGGCTTCACGTGCCAGCTCATCCCCTCGGGCTTATACAGAGAGTGTTGGAAAAAGGGATTTAATTACAGCCTTGTAATGCTGGAGGGTGTAAGAAGCAATGTCTGTGTTCCTTTCTGTGTGCAGCAACCAGCCCCCACGGATCACATCTCCAACTGCAGTGCTGGGCACATCACTGCTGCTCTTACTGAACAAGGAAGTTTCTTGAGCGACAGCGAGCTGTAACCATTGGCCATTGCTTAAGTATTACAGTGTTTGGAGTGTGTCTGTCACATTCAAATCAAAATGCCACTGGTGTGATAACAGCTTAAGAGCTCCTGGCCTCTGCCTGCAAAGCTGCGCCACTTCATGGTGCCGAGACGAACACCCTGGGTTCCCCAAAACAAGAGACCTAGTCCAAGCAACCTGGTCCAGGAGTATTGTCCAAAGTTTCCTCACAGGACACACACCCTGTCACTTGTCTCAGGGATGGTGAGTGGCATTAACATCCATCTCCTGTTCCATTGCAGAATGTAGCTGTGATGAAAACGGAGGTTATGGATCTGGGTAACTCAGAACAGAGCTGGATCCTATAAGTGAGCACAATACATCAGAGACTTGAATTGCCCTTTAAAATTATTTTCTTAACCAGTTGAGTCCTCAAGTCTTGCTCTGTATCCAGAATAAACTGAAAATCACAGCTGTATTTAACATAAAGACAAAATGAAGGAAGAAAATGTAGTGATATAATTTATTACAGAAGTGCCTGATGACCAAATAAAAAGAGATCTCATAGAGACAGAGTTTCGGTTGACTGTAGCCTTTTAAGCAAAGTCACTTTATTTTGAATTAAACAAAATCATGGGGGGAAAAAAAGCAAAGTAATACTTTATTGAAAAAATAAAGTATTCCTACAAAAATAGCATAAGCATGTATAATATCCAATGCTTCAGTTCTGTTGTGCAAAATAGTAGCTACCCTGCAGGCACCTGGAATTTCCAAGCTTCTGATCCCAGGTAAATAAATTCTCCTCTGTAATTTTTCTCATAACAACTTTATTTTGTGATACAAGTTGATTGTATGTTAAATGGCTCCCTTAAAAAAAAAAAAAAAAAACAAAAAAAAACAAAAAAAAAAACAAAAAACCACAAAAAACCAAAACAAACAACAACAATAACTAATTTATTTTTCACAGTGTGCCTTCTTACCAGCTTTGTGGTGGGGGAAAGACAGGATCACTCACAGGCTGACTTCCCAGTTTGCCTTTTGCTCTAAACAGAAATATCTTGTCTGGTGTAGAGGAGATGGGACCAGTGTGACCAGGCACCTAACCTGCCTTCACGTCACACTTTTTCTATAGCAGATAAATCCTTGTTCCTCACCAGCATTTTGCATTTTGGCTTAGGAAAGGCTGCTGCATTTCCAGGTGTGAGAGAGGGCAGATAAGGACTAGAGAGCTGATGCACTACCCAGCTGCTTGTGCAGAGCTGCAAGGCAGAGAAATGAAACCAAAGTCTCGGAGATGAATAGCGAGCTCTTCTGAGCACTCCCTGGCTGTGGAAGTGCCCTGCTGCCAATGCCAGGTGTGCTCAGGCCCAGTAATGCAGTTTTCTTCTGGAAAGAAAGAGGAGAAAATGAAAGGAGCTTGCATTTGACCATCAGTCTAAGCAAAACTCAGTGTCACAGTGAGCAAGGCCCCAAAACCCCACTTTCTTAAAAACAGGAATGACTAAAAAGAAAATCCATTGTGGTGAGATGTTGAATATGACTTGCTTGTATCCTGCCCTCCCCCTTGCTCACCTCCCCCGGTCACCAGTGGCAGAGGGGCAGGATGAATGTGAAGATCAGCCCTGAGAAATCCTCAAAGTCATGAAGCAGGATTCTTGGAATACCTTGCTCAGATCCTGATGCTGACATTGCTTCTTACTGTTCCCTGCAGGATTCAGGCTTGTGCAAGCTGGTTTCTTTTCAAGTTTATCTGCCAGCTTGAAAATTGTGTGGCTGGTTCTTTAACAGATTGGTCTCTGCATTTCTTCTGCAAGCACACAGCCTTAGATGGCCACTGGAGCTCGAGTGGTCTTGTATCTGTGAAGGGAGGTGAGAAAATCAGTGTTCATGACTGCTACATCAGACAAAGAGGTGGATCTGGATCTTTTCTGGTGTGAATCAGAGAAGTAAAGCAAAATGGCAGCTCCTCTTGCGTTAAAACCCCCACAGCTTAATGAAATTTTGTCTTTGCAGAGCAGAAATGCTTCCTGTGTCTGCAGAAGTACATTAAGAAAGAGGTGTTGAGGGAGCTGAAGTGCTAAGGAGCAAACTTCTGGGAATGCTCTTCACATGAAAACACTCCATGAATCAGTTATAAATGAGACTGACCTCTCATCCGTCCATCCATCCGTCCATCCATTCGGAACATTCCTCACTTCAAAATTCGGGCTGTTCCCTATTCTGTTTCATATGGGAGGTGATACTGATGAGCAGAAAAAAGGTATGTTTGCTTCAAATGTTGTTTGTGGATAGAGAGCAGGGGTTGTTATGGTGCAGAAGGAAACACAGGAACTTCACTAACAAAGAAATGCACATTTCCAAACCATCTCTGCCCAGCCCCAGGTGGGAGGTTTGGTTTCTCTGTTCACTTGGAATTTGTAGCTGGTCTTGTCAAAAGATGATGGCTGTGTTGGAAATTCAAATTTAACAACCTCTGGTTGACCAATTGAGTTTTTTTTGGTGGGAGTTATTGGTTCTTTGAACAAAGTTTGAAAATGGACCCTCATAGAAATACAACCACACCAAATTGTAGTGAGGTGCTCTTGTGCCTTGCACTAGAGAGGTCAAAAACGTGCACGTACATTACTTAAATGTTGCCGGGGTTTTCCCCGCAGACTGAAAATACCTGCAAAGACAGGCAGAAGTCGGTATTTCAGAAGATGATGATTTTAATGGAGTCTGGGTCAGAGCCACAGCTTTGATAATAGCACCCCGGCCAGCAAATGCCCCGAGCCTGATTTACAGCACCATCAGCAGGCGCTGCCTTGTGCCTCTTGTGCAGGGGCTAAGGGAGGGCACAGGGCAGGAAACAGCATTTTGTCGTGCCGCGCTTTGCACGGGCCGTGGAAGTCGTGTCGGTGGGATGCAAGTGGGTGAGAGAAGCTGCTGGCAGAGATGCTTCGGCCCCCGAATTTGCGAGGTGGCGGCTGGGCTGCCCGGCCTGGCAGCGCCCGCAGCCTCGCTCCCTCCCCTCGGCACCCTTCCCGCTGCCCCGGCATCCTTCCCGCTGCCCCGGCCAGCTCCCGGAGGCTGCTGCCCCGCGGTGACACCCCGGGATGTCCGGCGCTCCGCTCCGCCGGGCACGGGGCGGCTCCGCCCCGTACAAGAAGCGACCGACGGTTGTTCTGCTGCCCTTTGGAGCTGGGAGCGCTCCTTTGCCGCCGCCATTGCTTCTTCGTCCTCAGCGTCCTTCCCCGGCAGGGCTGCGGCTCCCGCCGGAGGTGCCGGTGGCCGGCTTTAGGGAGCGATGACGACGGTGCGGAGAGAGGCGTTCGGGCGGATGCCCCCGGAGGAGGGAGGCGGAGAGGTGGAGAAGTTCGTCTTAGAGTCGGACAGCGTGAGAGTGGAGATCCTGTCTTTTGGGTGCATCATCACCACTCTGGAGACAAAAGACAGGGATGGGCAGTTTTCAGATATTGTCCTGGGATTTGACACTTTGGAAGGTGGGTATTAATACGTTTCTTTGAAAAAAAAAAAAAAATTTAATAACCCACAATCAAGCCGTATAACCGGCACTTACTGATTTACTGCCACACTGCCTGACCGGCTCGTAAGGCACCCCCCCGGCCAGTCATGGGCTGAAGGTGACTGTTAGAAACTGCTCTATCTGTGTCTGCACTACCAGATTCCTGCTGCCTCTCCTGGGCTCGGTGGGGGGTGTGGACCAGGGACACCGGGGGTGGCAGTGTGCCACTCTGTTGGGGCAGCTCTGAGTCATTCCTTAACTGGCAGTGACAGAGGCCTTTTCTTCGAATCTACAAAGAATACAAGATCCCATCAGGCTGTGTTAATCAAAGATGCACATGACTAATGAGCTGTGTGTTCTGTGAAACTCTGGGATTGCTGTCACCTATTTAGCACTGGAGGGAAGCAGGAAGAGACACCTCTGAGTCCATAAGCAGAATGGGCAGGTCCTGGAGACCGCCCATCCCGTTCCAGTGGTTCTGTTTAACCATGTGCTGTTTCTCTGGGCAGGTTACACGGCGAAGCACCCGTTCTTTGGTTGTGTTGTGGGCCGTGTTGCCAACAGGATTGCGAACGGGAAGTTCAGCCTGGATGGGAAGGAGTATCAGCTGTTCGTCAACAAGGGGCCCAACAGCCTGCACGGAGGAGCCAAGGGATTTGACAAGGTGAAAATCCCAGTGTTTCTGTCAGCATACAACCTGTGGGGTTATGGCAAGAGCGTGTGATGTCTACACCCCTGAACCCTGTAGCATTTTCAGGTGGTTACTGAGTTGAATCAAGTCAGAAAGTGCTGTGAGTGCAGAAACAGGGGGAAGTGAGACAGATCCTGCAAGCTGTTGGGTTGGCTTGTCTTTGCCTGAGTTTGCAGGGCTCACTTATGTCATCCTTGGATGCCGAGCAGAGGGTTGCTGTGCTTCCTCTGTGACTGCAGCCCTGAGCCTCATGAGCCCCTGAGTTCTGGCAGGGTTGTCTGGGCAAGGTGCTGCTTCTGCACAGCCTAGGTTGGGACATGGCAGTGGGGACCTACCCTCAGGAGCAAGGGAGGCTCCCCAGGCACCAGCTGCACCACCCTGGAGTGCATCAAGGAGTTGTGCAAATGTGCAAAGAAAGTTTCCTTGGGAATAGTGGTCTGTCCATGCAGACTCATTTCCACCCGCATCTTCATGGCTGTTACCTGCCCTTAGCTCCTCCCAGAGTCAAAAGGACAAGGACAAGGACAAGTGAGTTTGCAGAAACTTACCATTGTTGCTTGCCTGTGACAGCACTCCTGAGTAAGGTGAGAGCAGGGTGGTGCTGCAGGTTCGGTCATTGCATTGCCCCGTTTGGTGCCGCTTTCATCCTGCAACACGTCCCCAAGGCTCTCACTCTGACTCACAGCAGAGGGGGATTTGATCAGGCCTGCAAAATGCCCCAGGATCCAGGATCACTGTCTCTCTTTCCCAGCCCTCCCCTATGACCTCCTGAGATGAAGCAACCTTTCCCTGGCCTCAGGGCACTCAACTTTTTCTCTGTCCTCCCAAGAGCTGCTGTCAAGTCAGGTATTTGTGTAGAGATGGTAAGAGCAGTGGAGGATCTCTTGAAAGCCTTGCTCCGTTGCAGAGCAGGCTCAGAAGTCTCTGCATTCCTGAAGCCTTGGGTGTTGTTGGATCAAGTGCATTTGTAACCAGCAAGTAGCTGATCCACCATTTCCCCCAAAGAGCACGTGAATGTGCTGGTGCAGCTGCTTTCATGGGGTTAATGGGATTTTTTTGGTGAAAGGAATCCAGGCTGATGGGGAAAAAAGCCAGGGTGCCTGAAAAAAAAAAAATCACAGTGTGAACTGGCATCAGGTTGGGATGAAATGCTTCTCAGCAACCTTAGAAAAAAGGGAGCACTGGGGATAGTTTGGCTGTTGTACCCCCAAAGAGGACAGTTTGGTTGATTTAAAGTTTCTTTATACACCCTGACACCTGTGATTTGCAGCTGAAAACATGCAATTCTTCACACCCAGGGCTTCCAGGCTGTCTTCTGCAGGCAGGGGATGTGGTCTCTTCTTCTGCTTCTTCACCTTGCTTGCTTGCAGAAGTCTCACCAGCTTGCTGGGGACAAGGTAGTGACATCTCCCAGCCAGAGCTTCATGTCCTCTGGCCCACAGGGCACGCTTGGACACCTGCCCAGGACCCCCTCCAGCCAGGAAAAAGTCACTGTTCAGAGGCAGTGAGCCCTAACTGGTCATCCCTAACAAAAACCACATACTGGCATTTGGCTGTGATTATCTTGGTTATCTTCTGAGCTTTTCCTGATTTTGCAGATATCAGTGCTGCGGTCAGCATGTGGTCTGATGAGAGCATCTTGCAGCTGCACTTACAGGGCTGCAGTGTGTGACCACACTGCTGGGGGATTTTTGAAAATAACTCTCTTATCTTAGAAAAAAATAGTGATACCTGTATGTTTCCTGGACTTTAATAGGTTTTTTTCAAAGAACTTAAATAGAAACTTGTACTTAAAACCGGCAGCATCCTTACAGTAGCCATGGGAGGTGCAGTCAAACTGCACACTGTGTAGGAGGGCCTACTCTGCAGCCAGGTGTATTTGTCACCCTCAGATTCTGTGTTTGGTGAAAATGCTGGCTTTTGACCATGCCCCATGTTGGTGATTTCTGTGTAGGACACGAGAGGGATTAACTCAACAGCATGGAGCTGGCCCCTGTTTCTAAATCTTTATTCCACTTTGATTAGACAGTAACTATTCCTCAGGGAAATGTGAAGCTTCAGAGAGCCTCTTGTTGCACATCCATCCTCCCAGCATGAGGCCATGGCTGGGGCCAAACAGGCTGTCTGGGCAGCTGAGTACAGTGGGCTGGCTTGCTTCCCTTGCCAGCATGTTTGGCTCCAAGCTGAGCACTGGTGCAGGCTGCTGGCAGGCACAAGAACCAGAGAGGTCCCAGCTCTCTGGATGTGTCTGACAGTATATCTGCTACCATTTAACCCAACCCCAGCCCCTGGGCAGGAGCCCCCTGCATGTTCTTACACTGTTCTACAAGTCAGTGCCTGGGTGGCAGCTTGTTGGTGTTGCACATGAGAAAATCTGTGGAAATGGGGATAAGTCCAGCTGCAGGACAAAAATCAGACTTGTGGACTCTCAGGCATGGCATAACACAGGCTGGAACAGACCCCTGTCAGACTGCCAAATTGCCTCCTTTGTTTGGCTGCTCAGTGGAAAGGCTTGTTCCCTGCTGGTGGTCCTAGCTGACCAAGAGCGGGCTGGTGCTTGTGTTTTCTTTGGAAAGGTGATTGAAAAAGCCTTTGTTTCAGTGCAACATCCCTTGGGTGCCTTTTGTCCCTGGTTTTAGCCCAGCCTGGGGCAGGAGGGAAGGGCACTGTGTTCCCATCCCTGTCTCACCAAGGCCATGCTCCATGCAGTTTCTCTGGAGCGCCGAGGTGCTCCCAAATGGTGTCCGCTTCTTCCGGCTCAGCCCCGACGGCGAGGAAGGCTACCCTGGTGACCTGAAAGTCTGGGTCACCTACACCCTTAGTGGCAAGGAGCTGGCCATCAACTACCAGGCCCAGACCAGCAAGACAACCCCCATCAACCTGACAAACCACGCGTACTTCAACCTGGCAGGGCAGGTAAGTGCGGGATGGGCCCCGTGGAGACAAACTGTGCAAGGCAAGAAAGCCTGGGGACCCGTGGGATGGTCATTGGCACCAATGTGCTGGTCTGGGGACCCATCCTGGTTTTGGGGATACAACAGTGAAGGTTGTCTCTGTGCATCATGGGCTGCATGCAGGAACAGGAACCAATCACGTGGATCACAGCTGAGGACACATTGTCTCAGGGCTTCTTCAACAGAGACACCCAGCTGAGCATGCTGGTTCTCCTTTTGTGTGCAGCTGGGGAGTTTTGCTCTCTCCTCATCCCTTGGGAAGATTGAGGAGGAGGTGCAGATCTGGCATGCCCTAGTGGTGGCCTGGCATTTCTTAGCTGTGTTCTGTTGGCATTTCTGAGAGGGTGAGGCAGGTCGAAATCAGGGCCTGGAGTGGCAGCACCAAAATACCCAGGTCAAAATGGGCAGAACAAACAGAGAAAGGATGTGAGATAGCCAGGATTGAAGACTAGCAAGGTTGCAACAGCAGCATGCAGAGGGCTCCCCCACACCTGTACAGGGTCATGTCAACCACAGAGACAGTGAATTGCAGCTGTGTTTTAATATCACAGTTTATAACTGGGCTTGGAGGAAAAGGATCTGAGAAATAAAGTGTTGCTGGGCAGAGCCATAGGATAATAACAGTGCAGTCACACTTGGATGTGAGACAAAGGCCCTTAAAAGTGTTTATGAGAGACAACTCAGCCCCTCTGAGCAGGAGCTGTGCCCAAGCTGCTGCCCTGAGGATGGCTGTGCAGTTGTTGGTGCTGGTGCTCCCAGGGGTGCAGCAAAAGCAACACTTGCAGTGTGCAACTCAGGTGTGTTCCAGAGGAACAGGAGACCTTTGGGCACGAAATTGCTGCTCAGATTAGATAGTGACCTGAAGGCTCAACTTTGAGCCTGCTCCCCTTCCAACCCAGCGGATTCCCTGCCAGCATTCCTAAGGCTGTGGAAGAGGAGGAGGAGCACACCCCTGCAGCAATGCAGATGAGACAGGGGGATGGGTTGTGTTTCCCCTTGCTTGCTTCCTTCCCCTTCTCCCTGCTGCTGTGCGCTCAGTACCCAGCATGTTTTGGCTAGTCAGTCTGCAGGGTGGTGGCCCTCAGTGAGGTACAAGTACAGATTGATGGCCTCATCCCTGTGGGATTTACAGCTCCTAGGGCCCATGAAGGTTTTTGCCTAGGCTAATACCTTTGTTCTGTGCCCAAGATTAGGGTGGAATGAGGGCCAGGAGGTGCTCCAGGCACTACCATATCAGCTGGGGCACCACTGTGGACTATCACTTCACTACTGTGCTTAGGGCTGTTTGAACAGAGGCTGCAACAGGAATCCCAGCATTTCCCATCCTCCTGCAGGGCTCCCGGGATGTCTATGACCATGAGATCTCCATTGAAGCAGATTCCTACCTGCCTGTGGACAGCACCCAGATCCCTACTGGTGAGTGGTGTTTGCGGCACCAGGTGGAGGTGTTCTTTCTGAGCAGTGTTGCTGGCTGTGGGCAGCAGCACTGCCTGGCAAGGGGACACACCAGCAGCCAGGGGACCGCAGGCACAGCAGGGTCCTCACCTTTGGGTTCAGTCCCACTGCACATGAGCAGGGTGGGCAGAGCCAGGTGCTGGTAACAGGTCCATCACCAGCCCCAGGGAGCAGGCAGGAGCAGCTGGAAATGGGGCCAGAGGCACATGGGATGTGAGGCTGTTTTGTGGATCCACCCAGGAGACAAGCTCCCTGTGGCACCTGCTGGAGTGGATTCTTTGGTCCAGGTGGCTTCTGCTCAGCTTGATGTGCCATGCTTGTGGACAAATAGGGGAAGAGCTTAAGGCCATACCCAATCCAGTGCCCACTTCTCCCTGCTGCTTTCACCATGGAGCTGTTTCACATCTTAGTTGTGGCCAGCTTGCTACCCGTCCCTTTTGCAGTTCCTTCTTGTGTGGGTAGACTTAGTCTTGGGGTGAAAATAAGATTGGTGCAATTATTAAAGACAGACCCCTACATACCCCCTAAATACAGCAATACCTGCTGTATTTTATGTAAGTGCCTGAATTGGAATGGTTTCATTTTTTTTTTCAAGACATTTATTCTGCCCTCCGTGCAAAACCCCTCATCTTTGGGTTGGGGTGACTGTTTTGCACTGTGCTTAGTATGTCCTGGGGTTGTTTGTACTGCTTTATCACAGGGCACTGTATGCCCATAGCAGTCTTAACAAGGACAGGGGAGAAAATGCTGGGTTTGTACATATACAAACTTCATGTGTTTTCTTGCTCCTTGTCTGTGCTTTGTCCCTGCTAAGTACAGCAGTGTCCCCAGAAGCTGCCAGCTATGCTGGGGAACAAGGTAAGGTTTGCTGGCATGTGGCTGAGTGGCTGAGCCTGCTGTTCCCCTTGCTTAGGGGAGGTGGCCGCCGTGCAGGGCACTGGATTTGATCTCCGGAAGCCTGTGGAGCTGGGCAAGCACTTGCAGAAGTTTCACCTGGATGGCTTTGACCACAATTTCTGCCTGCATCAGGGACAGGATCGACACCTTGGGGCCAGGTAGGCTGGGTCCTTTGCAGGAGTTCCCATCCCTGGAGCCAGAGGGTGCCCATTCAGCCAGTCCCGTGTCATCCTCCACTGGCATCTCCGCAGGGTTTCCCACCCCCCCACCGGCAGGACCATGGAGGTTCACACCACCCAGCCTGGCATCCAGTTTTACACTGGGAACTTCCTGGATGGCTCCCTGAAGGGCAAAAGTGCTGCCACATACCCCAAGCACTCAGCTTTCTGCCTGGAAACCCAGAACTGGCCTGATGCCGTTAACAAGGTGAGCTGTCCATTCCCCTCCCACGGGTTACTTGGGTCCTGTGGCAGGGGACATACCCCCACCACCTTCCCTGTTTCTGGGCCCTAAATGTAGGAACAGAGTCTCCTTGTCAAGGGAGCACTGCAGACACCAGAAGTGAGGCAGGCACAGGTCACAGTGGCTTTAGACAGGGGTCAGTCTGTGCAGCAGGGACTGGCCCTGTGCAGCCCAGCTTCCCAAAGGTGTGGGGTCTAGAGCAGATGGCCCCACTGGGGCCTTGCTGCATCCTCTCATATCTGAATCGTTCCTCACAGCCTGGATTCAACCAGCGGTGGGACTCACCCACTCAGCCCTCTGGCAAGTGGTGGGTGGTTACACACTGCTGCTGGAAATGGCTGGGGGGAGCTGTGGGAATATGCTTTGGGAAGAACAAAGAGATACAGCCGTGCTTCCCACAGAATGTGTTCACAGTCACTGATGTGCTGCTGCTTCTCCCCAGCCTCACTTCCCCAGTGCCCTGCTCCGTCCGGGTGAGGAATACAACCACACCACATGGCTTGTGTTCGGCACTGCTTGAGGAGGAGGGCTGCTGACTCCCAGCACTGAGAGGGGTAAGTGCCTCCAGCAGCTGAGCCAGAAATCCTGCCAGGTGCCAAACAGAGCTTTCCAACTACCCTGGGTGATGCATCTGATCTGGGAGCCTTTATCCTCCTCTGTGGTTTCCACACATGGTTTCTGCTGGCTTTAGCTCTTATCACCATCTCTGCTGCTGTCTGGTCTGTGCCAAAGTCTTACACTCTGTCCAGCTTCTCACCCTGGGCATTGGGTTTTGTTTTGTAGTAAAAATGCACTGAAAACACCTTGTTTAGGGGCATGACATCACAGCTCCAATGACAGCAAGGGAATATCTAGTAATATTCATGTGGAGCACGTGGGAAGGCTGATGCAGTTGTGGTTGTTTGTTACAACATCTGTTTCTTCCATCAAAGTGCTCTCTTTAAGTGCTGTGCAGTGCTCATGCAGGATAGCTTTGAGGAGGACTGTGTGTTGTATTTCTTACAAGCATACTGGGATTATCCCAGATGGCTGCCCTAGGTGCTCTGGTTAAACTCCTGTGCTGTCTTGGTTCCTGAAGTGGGCACACGTATTTAGTCCTGAATACACAACTGCAGGAGAAAACCCATCATCCTAACACTGTGTTTCCACATGAAATCTCCAAAGCCCTGTATCAGGGAACTATGTGATGAAAACCTCCATGTTTCCGAGGGTTCCAAAAACTTGGCACAAGCCGGGGATGACAGGACTATCTTATTAGGGAGCTGACAGCCCACTCCCCAGAGAAACAGGCAGACAGTCCTTGCATTAGGCACTGTGTCCCACCTTCTCCTGCCATGCTGCTGCACCCAGGGCCTGCAGCACTTCACCATACTTCCTCAGCTGCAGAGGTGCAGGAATGCCCTTGCCCCCAGGGGAAGTGCCTGGCCATTGGGCTTGCAAATGTGGCACCGAAAAGACAAGACAGGCCCACTACTCTCCTGCTGTGCACAGGTCATATTGTCTGTGAGGGCTGGTATCCCTTGCAGAACAAAGCCCACCAACAGGGAACACCAGGTGGCAAACCAAGGGAACCCCGTTTTCCCTGAGAGTGGGTTTGCCCACCACACCGGAGACCTCAGATACACTTCCCTTGCCCCCCACCCCCAGCCAGCCTGTGTGGGGTGTGCACATCCTGCCCGGAGGCACAGCAGCACCAGTCCCGCAACGCACCCGTGTCACGGCATCTTTTCCGACTGCTCACAAACACTGCATGGAATTTGTGGGGAAATCCTACCAAACTCAAGCCAGAGCTCAATTTTGGACAGCACAGCTGCACAAAAGCACAGATGCCATCTTTGTCACTGCTCCCCCTCTGCACCTTACAAAGTGCTGGCTGTCTGCACCAGCAGAGCCCTGCTCCTTGCTCAGGTTCTCATGTCTGGGTTTAGAGGAACCCCAGCCCCCCTAGAGACCCCAGGCTCTTCTGCTCGGTCTTCCAGTGTCTCTGGGTACTGAAAAACAGGTACCAGTAGAGCTGTCGTGTCAGTCTGCAGGTTTATTGTGGAGCAGGTTTGCCTTGAGAGTACAGAAAAGAAAAGGTGATGAAATTCCAGAGCAGCGGCGTACCTGTGCCTCTCACCAGGTACACAATGCACAACCAGTAAAATATTCCAAACACGTAGCACAGGCTTCAGGCATTTGGGCTAAGCCACTGCAGGGTAACATTTGTGTCAGCCCTGCCACAGTGGGATTTGGCGAGTATGGGCAGAATCCACCAGGAACACCAATGGCCATGGTGAGCCCCAGAGAGGATCCAGGCACAGCGAGGACCAGGAATAAAGGCCAGAGGATGCTGCAGCAGAACAGCACCTTCAGGATCTGGACTGTTGACTCATCCACCAGGAAAAGCTCCATGCAGACATTAACAGGAAATCTGTTTCTTGAAACCCATGTGTTACCCCACGTGTAACAAAATCATCTTGTAACTTTATTTAAGCTGTTCTGCTGTGGTTTACACAGTGGAAGCAAACTGCTGATAGATTTCATTGGAAGCCCAAACAGGCCTGGCTTTCCATTTCAGTGCTTACTTGCTGCTGAAACTGGCCTTTATTTCTGCTAGATAGCCAATCCCAGCAAAAAGAAAATAGGCTTTTCACCCCTCTGCCTACCAGTTTTTTGCTCACAGTCCAACACTGTTGCCAGTCCCTTGCTGTGATCTGTGCTGAAGTGTTTTATCATGCAATTCCTTCATACAAAATGAGAACAATTTGACACACCTATACACAAATAATGATTGCTGCAGGTTGTGTATTTGCTGTAAGAAACTGGGATCATTCAACAAAGCCATCTCCAGGATATGGGCTGCTTGACAACCATACCAGCTTCTATGAAGCAGGTTAGAACTCCTGAGGGCAGCTATAGTCTTTCATTTTAAGGATCTTCCCTCAAAAAAGGAAACACGCCTTGAGGTATTTTAAAAAGTTTTCTTTACATCAATAGCCCAAGGAACTAAAAAATGCAACACGTGAAAGTAGCAATTCTCAAATTATTAATAATTGCTATTACCTTTAAAGCTTTCTGCAGATGTTATTTGCTTAAAAGATGTGTTTTGGAGGAAAGTTTATCCTTAGATTTTTGAGGCATTTGGTATCAACAGTCAAACACCAGAGAATGAGCTTTGCAGAATAAGCAGATCAGGCAGAAAAACAAATGCCGCATGAGAAGGGCATATGCAAATTTTTATCCATTTGCAGACAGAGATGGATTTTAAATTCCATTTCCAGGAGAACAGGAACTGATCCTTTCACCAAAGACCACTCAACAGCAGATGTGAAAAGTGACTACCTTGAGAAGACACCAGCTGGGATCAGTGATTCCCATTTTAGACATTTTTCATCCACGTTACATGGCACACAGCTAAAATTACCCAAACATTAACAGAAGCAGCAGGGTTACTACAGAGAAGTTTTAGTTAAAAATACACATTTTATTTCAATGTGCCAATAAAAAAGTCCCACATTTTCATATCACAGGAAGTTAATTCATACAATAAAAAGAGACCTGTGCTAGTCTATTGGTGTGACTAACTCAGAAGACCCAGATCATGCCAAATTTTAGTTGATATACTCTTCTATCTACATTCTTACATTTACAAAGACACCACAAAATCCCTTATAATAATGTAAGCAAAATAACTTTCTTCCTAAAAGATTAACTTCATAACTTTAATCCATTCTTTCAGGACTTGCACTTCGTTGAGGGCTTCCTGATGGTGAACGGCTGAAAGGAAAACAATCCACAATTAACATTTCAGTAATTGCTTGGGAATCACAAATACAGGAAAAAGCAACAGGAGTATACCAAGACTCTGGCTCCCTTAAGCACTTTTTAAATAAAATAACCAATCACTACTGACAACAGTTAATGGGTTGATGATCTGGAGATAACACTTTTTTTCTTTACTGTTATTTTTAAAATGAGATCACTGTAAGGCCATCCAAAGGGTATTACTAATAGTGACCTCCACAGGGGCAAGATACTTCTTCACTGTTCCGATACAGCAGCTTGTCAGAACCTATCAGGGTGATCACTCAGCATTTATGAGCACTTTTTCATGCCCTTGTGATTGTTTGACACTAAAGTTGTAGAAATGAACTATTAAAGAATTCTAAATAGGGAAAAAAATGCTGCTGATTCTGTCACTCCACATATTCTACACATTACTCTGTGCATATACACAGAGAGAGAAGACTATTTACTGACTTACTGCAAAAGAAAAAATTATCTAACAGCAGTGAACATAACAGGCCTGATTTTTCATTCCTGACTGCTGTGCCAGGGTACTGTACCTTCCTGGATACCTTCCTCAATGTCAATGTAGCTTTTAATGAGACTGAAGGCTGATTTCCTACATTTATTCTATGCTTTAAGCTCATGAGTCTCTGTGCAATAAAACTGTCAGTGAACCAAAGGAACAGGGGAGCAGACAACAACAAAACACTGCTAGGTAACCCTGAGCATTTATCACCACATATACACATTACCATATAAAAAGCCTCAACCACAACATTAAGGCTGTGAAAGAGATCTCAGCAAAATACCTTTCCAGTACTTTCCTACAAGCAGCAAACTCCTCAGCAGAGTTCAGTGCAGACACTAAAATGCCAGCTCTGTGGAGTTTATGCTATTAGTAGGGAGACCAACGTACCTTCTCTTTGGAGACGGTGACCGGGACTTTGACCGGCTGCCAAAACAGAATAGCATCAATGCAGCTTAAATGTCAACTTGGTTTTTATGTTTAAAAAAACCCCAACCTATCAGAAAGGAAATCACAGGAATCTAGCCAGGTCTTTCCAATGGTAGTTTTCAGATCAACTTTTACTCTGACAGGGATTCTCCATTTATTTAGCATGGAGATGCATTTGAAGCAACTTTCTTCAGCAGACAAACAGAAAAACAAGGGGTGGTACTAAGGTGAGGCTTTGAGAAAAGCAACGTCACCAGACTGCTGTTTTATGAAAAGCATTAACAGAGCCCAAGGTCTTTATCTGATGGATAGAAAAATTTAACAACTGAGCACAAAGGCACCAAAAATTAGTACTATGTTGGAAACAACAAAAAGTTAATGAAAACCCAGAGACAGGTAAGGTACGCATTCCAAAGAGCTGCAGAGGAAATTCTATCATTTCTGTCACATCACAAAGAGATTAGCTGGGGACCCATGTTAGGGGGCTATTTTTCTAAAGGACCAGGCTCTGTTAATCATGCAAACCTAAATTTGAGGTGCTACTGCAGGCTCTGTGTGTGCGTGCTCACCTCTTAGCTGGCGAGCCAGACTTTGATCTGCCATGAGACCTGGACCTGCAAGAAAAAACACAGCTCAGCAGGGAAACAGAACAGGTTCCCACGTTTGGGACAGCAGGATTCACACTCAGTGGATGAGCACTGTCATGCTGAATACAGAGAATCCTTCAAGTTTCCAGGGTTTTGCCTGCTAAGTTTCTGAAGTCTTTTTACATGGATGCTGCACATGTTGCTCTGTACTTTGGTCCCTAGCTGATGACCAGTGTTTGCTGATGCAGGTGGCAGGAACACAGGAACAACCCAAATCCTGACCAGTATTTTCAGAGAGCTAATAAAAAGCCATGCTCTAAACTTGCAGGTTTTATTAGACCTGAGCAACATCTGCCACTGCAGCAGCCAACAGCTCATTCTTAGAAGTATCTTCTCTGTGAAGTTCACCTTATGTATCCACTTACTTCAAGTATTTTTTTTTAAATGTTTGAACTTAATCCTTATGAAAAAAATGTGGAAAATGTCCACCTTTGAGGCTGCTGCACCACAGGAACACTAATACTGCCTGAAAGCCTCACTGAAATTTTGAGATCCCACGAGAAGTGTTCTACATTCCACATCCAGGGCTTTCCACAACAATTTCCAGATGCATGTTGTGACACTGTCAAACCAGCAAATGTCATGTACTCATTTAGTCTACCTCATGAACCCAGAGCCTGTCTCTGGGTACAATGCATTCCTTGGGCTCTTCTGTAAAAAAATAATCTTTCAATTACATAAGCACAATTCTTCTGCCAGTTCTGGCTAGTTGTACATCTCTAACTTCCTATGCCTCAGACACTTAATCCCTACGTACAATGCAAAGTGTCACACAACAGTCCAGAAATGTCACTACAAGTATCCTTTACCCTGCAGAAAACCAGCATGGTACCAAAAAGAGAAAACAGTGGTGGTAAAATCAAGATGTTTTCCTCTTTGAGAGTCTGCTGCCTGTAGCTGTTCCTGGCTCATCACTGACAGTGCACAGTGATAAACCATGATTAAGTCATGTTGGAACAACCAGTACTAAGATTCGACATGGTTTAGCCACAGGTGTACCCAGCCAGAGAAAGGCACTGCTCTACTGCCTTGGGCAACCTTCTCTCTTTATCAGTTTCTGGACTATTTGTGTGAGTTTCTACTCTTAATTAAGCTATCTGGTCTTCATCTCTCCTTTCCTCTAAAACTCCCATCATTGCTTGCTGTCCATCCTCAGAAAATGCCACCTTCAGCTGTGGGCTTTTCCACCTGCTCCCTTTAGCTGAAGCTATCCGGTATTTTCCTGTGTCTCTTCATGGTTGACTGTTCCTTGTTTCAAAGAGCAGCCATTAAAACCGGCACAGCAGGCACAGGGATAGCTGGGCCATAAGCAATTCCATATCCAGAGCAGAATTTCCATTTACTGTTGCTCTTGTCGAGGACACCCAGCCAGTCCTCCTGCCAGGACAAGGCTCCATGAAGCACAGGCTGCACTTACTTACTAGCAAGTAAATCTTAAAGGAACAAATACCATCCTGTGTTCCTTTAGAATGTGACTGTTACTCCTGTGACATGCTTATTGGTACACAGTAATTCTGACAGGTGTTTGTCTCAAATCAAAATCAGCTCCTGCAGATTGACACTGATACTCAGCGGAGCTGGAATTGCAGCTGTGACACTCAGGACACCAGCAAGCCCTTCAAGACTTGCCTGGCTGCAGACAATAAAACATTAACACACTACTGGAAGGCTGTTTTGCTTTTTCAGAAAAATAATGGGAAGAATCCAAATCCTGTGTGTGCTACACAAAGGAAAAGAAACTTTTGAGATTAATTCTACATTTGTTAGCTGTTAATGCAACCTGATCAAACCAGTATTTCTGATGACTATGGTGACCTAGATGTTAGTGATGTGCAAAAGAATAAAAAGAAGAACAATCTGCTTCACTGATTTTTAAAACTACAGACCCCTAGGTTAGTGGAGGGAAAACACATCTTTAATCTGGAAAAAAAAATCTTAACAGTTGTTGTTAGGCTCTCTTAACTTGAGAGCCTAACAAGACTTCTAAGCAACTTTTACCAAGTACCTATAGTCACATACCTGCTGCGGGGCCATGTAACAGATCTCGATCTAGATCTGGACCTTGATCTAGACCTGAAATTAAAAATTGAGATAAATTAAAAATAAATAAAGAAGAAGTGACCACAATTACAGCACTATATAAATTAATGTCTACATATGACATTGTCTACATTAAGACCCCTGGAAAAAAAAATCTTAACAGTTGTTAGAGAGCCTAACAAGACTTCTAAGCAACTTTTACCAAGTACCTATAGTCACATACCTGCTGCGGGGCCATGTAACAGATCTCGATCTAGATCTGGACCTTGATCTAGACCTGAAATTAAAAATTGAGATAAATTAAAAATAAATAAAGAAGAAGTGACCACAATTACAGCACTATATAAATTAATGTCTACATATGACATTGTCTACATTAAGACCTACATGATCATAGACATATATGATCATTAGACATTTTACACAAAGAAATTCAGTCATGGTAGACTGAGGTCTCAAAACTCATTAGCATGCCTGTGAATTAAACCAGGATTATCAGAAACTTTTAAAAGCATGCTGACTCACAGAAGTCAGCATCTTTTGAAACCTGCTATCCAGTATCTTTTGGAATCTAATTAAGACAAGAAAACCCAGCACAAATAAATCACACAGAAAAAATTAGTACTAATTACCGTGATCTCTTCAAGGAACCCGACCGGGACCGACGGGGAGACACGGACCTGGACCTGCGAGGAGACACGGACCTGGACCTACGATAGGAAGCTGACCTGGATCTGCAAAGAAAGCAATTCCAAGAGTTGTTCAAGTGCAGCTTTTTCGAGGCAAAAGAAGGCAACAGGGATAAAAGACAAACTGAAACACACCTCCTACCACGGCTGCGGCTGCGTGACCGGGAATACCTTCTTCCTCGGGACCTCGAGCGGGATCTGGACCGGGACCTGGGTTGAGGTTAGAAAAAACAGGTATCAGCAGACAGCTGCAGCACCCAGCACCTGTGAGGCCCTGCTGAAGTCAAAACTTTTTTCAGACAACTAAAGAACTAGCATCTGTCAGTTGGAAAAATGTCTGGGCCTACTTGTCTTGAGCATTTTTACTACCTAGAAAAATGTTAAAAGCTGAATTACATTGCAGAATTACATTAGAATAGAAAACACTGTAATGCGTATTTAAAATAAACCTTGCAAGTTTGCAGGTCGACCCTCTTTGGCCCAAGGTCTAGCAGATCTAGACGATCTAGAAGTATCTATAGGCGAGCGCTGCATCTAGGTAGGTGTTCTCTTCAATCTAACGACGATCAAACTGACAGCCCAATGAGCCAGGGTGAGGCTTGATTGACGCAAGAAGATTTTTCTAGGTGGGAATGTGGTCAATCTGGTGTTCCTCTTTCTAAACCGGAGGGGGGCCCCAATTGAAAGCCAAATTTACTGTTACGGCGGTCACCGTCTCAAATTTTCTGCCCTTAAAGAATAAGGTGAAGCTACGTGTAGATGGCTCGAGGGGATCTGGCCTCTTATGCTGATCACCTCAAGGTCTAGGAGGATCTTAAGTGTCGGATTTGCAAGGCGCCTCAGCATGAAATCTTAAGGCTCGTGACATTCTGAATCAAGGCGACTGACTCAAACGAAGAAACCTGAAAGGTTTTGACCAGGTTGATTATTAAAATATTAACATTTGATAGAAATAGCAACAAATTGTAATATACACCTATACATTTACTCTAGCGTTAAATTTTAAAGAAAACTGGTGTAACATTGTGTTCTTTGCTAACAAGAACTACACAAAAGCGAGCTGGCGAAGCAACGCGGCTGCCCCGGCCCCGCACGTACCTGCTCCTCCTTCGCCGGCTATAGCGGTGACAGTCATAGGCATAGTGGCCTTTCTCACCACACTCATAGCATCTGTCGTTGGGGTCGAAGGGGCGCCGGGCAGGGGGCCGGTCGTAGCGGGAGCGGCGCGGCATCCCTGTGGATACTTCCACCCTGACCCTGGAGCCACAGATCACCCTGCAACGAGTCCACGAAGGGCTGGGTTAAACTTTTCCGTCCATGACAGAACTACAAAAGCATCGGGACCAGCGAGATAAACCCCGATTCTCTCTCAGAAGCCTCGGCAAACACGCGAAATGGACACGTACTTTCCGTCAAGTCCACGGACAGCATCTTCAGCATCCCGGGGGTCTTCGAACTCCACGAAGGCGAACCCCTGTCCGCGCGGCCCCTTTCCCGCCTTCAGCGCGAGCGCCGCGCGCCCGGCCGCGCGCCCTCCCCCACGGCCGCTGACGCAAAATGGCGGCGGCGACAACGGCGGCGGCGGCCGCATCGCCTTCCTCCCCCCACCACCGACTCCCGCCAGCCGCCAAGCTCCCCGCGGTAATCGCCTCTCTCCCAGACCCGTCTCGCCTTCCCGCCCGCGCAGCCGCCCGCCGCCCGCGACCCCCGGGAGCTCTCACCGCCTCCATAGCGGCCGTAACGCGACATCCCCACGGCTCCGCCGCCCGCGCGCACGCGCCGCCGCACGCGCCTGCCCCCTGGCCTGCTCCCCCGCCTCCCCCGCGCCGCGCGGAGGTGCGCATGCGCGGGGGGTGGGGGCGGGCGTCTGAATGGGAATTGAGGCCTGAAATAGGAATTGGAGGAGTGAGTGGGAACAGGAGAGCATTTTCCTGGGAAAGCTGACTTCTCGTCCTGCTGTTGGTGCTGCAGGTGATCATCTGCCCGATGGAAGTAAAGCCAGTGGGGCCTTTCTGTCCTGGCCTCTCCTGAGTGGGAGCAGTCCTTGGAGGCATCCAGTACTGGAGGTGATGTCCCCATCAGCTGGTATGTAGCTGCCTCTAGAGTGCAGCCAGTGCTCGTTTGTAGGGCGAAAACAACTAGATTTGGTCTCCCTGCTTTCTAATAAACGAGCTGTGGCTGAAAGAAAGAAGTAGCTGAATGCAGTGGCACGAGCCATTCATACACAATCGCTGTAGTACTGGAGAGGCTGAGCTGAGACTCCCAAAAAGAAGGGAAAAAAGGAAGTAGCTCATTTGAGGCTGCAAAGTATGACTGTCTCATTTTATACCCTTTATATTTTTTGTGTTAGCGCTCACTAAACCGTTGCATGCTCGCGTTCACAAATTCCTAACAAATCATCAGATCAATTATTAGCAGCTTGTTTGGCTCATCCATGAGTGCTGCTGAAATGGAGCAGGTGTGGGGTGTTGGAATCAAGCTTCCCGCCTTCACGGCGGCACGGCAAAGCTTGCCAAAAGCAACTCAACAACCAGGGAACAAAAATACCTTATTTTTATGCAGCAGATGCACAGAGCGTGCATCTACCCCTATTGACACACACGGAAGCACGGCCTGGCACGAGCAAGCTGTGCCAGCAGGAGCATCCCAGGAGCAAATCCAGCTCCAGAGGGGCCACACGGCCCCCGACTCCTTGTTTTGGGATCTGGCCTGCTGCGTGCCCGCCTCTGTGTCATTTATGTGCCCCCGCAGCTGCGAAACGCCGCACGGCAGCATTGGGTGCGTACCCCGGGCCGGGGGAAGGCGCTGGGCGGCGGCGCCAGGAAGCGGCCGTGCCGCCCGCGGCAGCTCCCAGGCGCCCTCGGCGGGAACGCGAGCGGGAACTGGGGCCGGTGAGCGGGAGAGCGGGATGGGGACCGGGGCTCCTGCTGGGCTGTGCAGGCTCTTCCTGCCGGGAAGGCATTCCCGGGGAACAAAGCGCCCTCCAGCCCTTTGTGCTGCGCCCGTCGCTCTGCGGCCCCGCTCGGGGGGAGGGCTGGGAATGCTGGACGGGGGAAAAAGAGTGAAACTGCACTTGGTGGTGCTCCAGCGCAGGGGATGAGGAGAGAGCCGGGTGGACAGCGCTTATCCAAGGCGGTGGAAGGGCTCGGGCACCAGTGATGCGCCAGTGCGCAAAACAAAGGCGCTGAACTTTTACCTCCAAGGTTTTGTAAGAAGGCAGAGCAATAGATGGAGTGTTGGATGCAACAGAAAAGCTTATTACCAGAACAGTGGGGTTTGAGGCTTTGCTGTGTGCCTTTAAAAACAAGTGGATTCCGTAGGGAATTACAGAAGTGCAGCTTTAGGCCAACCATTGTGTGAATGTCTGCTTTTAAAAAAAAAAAAAAAGGCAAATTTTGCTAAAGACAAATCTTTACATGGAGGCAAACCCAGTCCTGACGCGAAGAGCAAAGCAAAAAGATTGACTGCATCTGCTGACTCATCTGGTTGTTTTCTAGGTCCTGGATGTAGGAAATATGAATGACTGGCAGAGGAAAAGCCCTCTAGACTGGGAAACGTATGTGAACAAATTGGTGAAAGTTGTTGCAGTTGAGAAACACGAATACGAAGGATGGGTTTTAACAGTTGACCCAGTTTCTGCCACGTAAGTACCAAAGCTTTTATGAAAAGCAAGATTTTTAGGAGGAGAAAAGGTTCCAAGGCTGAAGCAAACTTATTTGGAGCAAAAATGGCATGTTATCTTGTTAAGTTGCAACTTCTGCTGATGGCTGCAACCTCTTTATCTTCTGGTTTGTACTTCCTGTGCACCTCATCTCTGGCTGAGCATGGGAAACTAAAAAGTCCTTGATTTAGAATAAGCACTGCTTAGCAACAACCAAAATATCAGGAATGTTATTCTCACTGTAAATTCAAAACTCAGCACTGTGCCAGCTTCTAGGAGAATTGCTAAAAAATCAGCTCTCTACCAGCTGAATGCATGTGTTCAAGGTGAAAGTTCAGAGCTTGCAGCCAAGGCTCCAGCAAACCCAGCTACTCATGCTAAGCAAGTAAAGCTAAGTGAACAACATATTAAATCACACAGTATTATAATTCCAAGTGACTTACTCTAATTTAAAACTTGTATATTAAGCTATACTATTACCTCTCAACAATCTATGTGTTAAAGATTGCTTTTGGTAATACACCAAACCCTGCTTTACGAAGAGTGCTGGAGTGTTTTCAGTGCTTTAGGTGTTGAAATCCTTAGCCTTTGTCTAGGGTACTTGCATTGATGCCTGGCTTTCCACTCCAGCCAGACACCCAGGAAGGTGTTGAGGCTTCTTTGGGGAGCAAGCAGGGAAAATCAGGGGCACTGGACAGAAAGTGGTACCACACATCTCTGGTATCACAAAGTGAGTAACTTGAAAACAGGGTTTGAAAGGCAAAATGCACCAGGGAATGGGCAGAAATTTGCCTCCTTGCTGCCCGAGCTCTTTCATACCTTATTGGATGTGAGCTTGTCCCACATGAACACAGGCTGGAGGCTCAAAACTAAAACATTCAGCTTCTGATGTGTTTCAGAAGAACTGGTTGTTGCTTCAGCTCTGAAGTAGCTCCAATAATCTCCTGAAGTTTCCTATCATTTTGCTAAGGATGGTGCATGCAGCTGTGAGTGATTCTCGTGATGGTCCAGGCTGAAATCAAGGCATATCTCACTGGACACACCCCCCCAAAAACGTCATTACTTCCACTAATGGTGGCAATAATTGGCTAGTGAAATGCTGGCATCATGTTGTGGAATTTTGCTTCCCACAAGAAGAAGAAAATGGTTTCTGATGCTCTTTGTTGATATATGAGGGAGAGATCCTAGAAATATAGCCAGTTGCCTTCCTACTTGCATTTTAGGACTTCTGCAAGTGCCCCTGGGAAAACACCAGGCTTCTACACTGTGAGCCTGAGCCTTTTGGTGTGTTCTGTTGTATTTTCATTTCATAAACTGGCAACAGTCATTAAAAAAATACTCTTTTGGCAATGATCAATAAATATGACTGTTTCATTAAAAGGTTCTGGTGTTGTTAGCTGCCTTCAGCATTCAAGGGACTGTATGTATGAAGGTATCACTGTTTCTGAATGTTGAAATGTTTTAGGTTCTTCAGCAGTGTTGGGAAAGCTGTACAAAAATATTTAGATTTCCAGACCTGACGTTATTTTTTTGAAGCAAAGTGTACGTTAATATTCTGCTTCACAGTGTCTAGAGTAGTTTCAATACCAGCAATTCCCTGCAGAGCCCCACATTTTTAGTATTTTAAGGGTATAGCAGCATGCTTTTCAAAGGAAAATGATGGGTGCTGGCTATTGCCTAAATACCTGGATTAGGCTGATGCTAATGAGCTCTTATCTCCAAAACCTTGGAAGCTGCTTCTCAGTCTTCAGTTAAAAACAGGAACTTACACAATCTTCTTTCCTTGACAGCATTGTCCTCGCAACATTCCCAGAGAACGAGAAAGGATCCTTATCATTCGTCATGGGCCACGCTGTCCAAGAGGTGGAGATCCTGCAGGAAGGGGACAGCGACATGAAGCAGCGCCTCGCTTGCATCCTTGCACCCGAGGAAAGCCAAGCCTACAGCGCGGAGGAGCTGGAGGAGAGGAAGAACGCCTTGAAGACTTGGCTGGAGACAAACCACATCCCCGTGGGCGAGCAGGGGGAGCTGGGCAGGACGCTGAGCGTGGCGGGGGTGCTGACCATCGAGCCCCCGTACGGCCCCGAGCAGTGCAGCAGCACCAACGAGATCATCCTGTCCCGCGTGCAGGGCCTGCTGCAGCGCTACCTGCAGCAACAGCGGCGCTGAGGGCTGCTGCAGCGCTACCTGCAGCAACAGCGGCGCTGAGGGCTGCTGCAGCGCTACCTGCAGCAGCAGCGGCGCTGAGGGCTGCTGCTGCTGAGGCCTTTCGTCTCCTGGAGCGCTCCTGTTTTAGGAACCGTCCTGTTTTAGCAGATCTCCTGGGTGTCAGTATTCACTGTTTGCAGAAATGCTGCGTTTTGGGTACTTTTGTCTTGATTTTTTGTATGTAATGGAAGGAATGAAGAATAAAAGCACAAGCATTTTTTCATGTGCTGTTTTTATTAGAAGCAAACAGTTGGGTAATGCTGATGTAATAAACTGATTTGTCAGTTAAGAGTTTTTGTAAAAATATTGTAAAAGATGATATGTAATACATTTAAACTGTTTTCCCTTTAAAACTAGTTTAATTATGTAGTGCTGATGGCATGTTTATTTGAACTGCCTACCAGATTTTTTTTTTTTTTGAAAGCGAATTATGACATCTGGACTTCCCAAACCAAATTAAAAAAAATGTTCAGAAAGCTGTTTTGTTTTGTTTTCATGGCTAGTTGGTTTTTAGTTTTTCCCATTACTGTTCTCCTAGACATAAACTACAATGTATATCCGAGTTTGTAAAATTATTAGGGAAGGTTAGCATGCAAATAGCAGGTTTTAAAACCATTACCTGTCTATATTTGTTATTTTAGAGCAGCAGTGCTTGGAAAACCAATGTTCTGTAAAAGGAAAATGTGTTGCAGTTGAGTAAGTTTGTGTTTTTTAATGCTCTGTTTCTAGTTTATGCCAACACATGATGCAGGAATCATTATGTGATTATTCCTGAGATTATTAATGCAGCGAGGAACGTTTAGAGGCCTCATTTATCTCAGTGTATTTGTTCTGCATTATTATGAGATAAGCACATTGGTGTGCTCAAATGCAGCTGAAAGTCTGCCTAACCCTTGTTCCTTAAAGGCTCTCCTCATTCGTGCTGGGATTTACCTAAAATTACTTTTAATCTGTCAGGTATTTGTTGATTTTTTATTAAAAAATGTCTGCTGCACATCCATTACTGCATGGAAAGGTTGGGAGATGCCAGCACACAACAGCTCCAGCTGCATGTCAGATATGAGGGGATAAACCAGGAGCTGAACACCCAAGGCTGGTTGGGATGGATACGAGGTGTGAGCCATCACAAGAGATTTGGAGCAACTTGGGGATGCCTTGTTCCAAGGAAGGCACCACTCACTCCTGGCTATGAAATAAGGCCCATGGCGTCAGCTCCTTCACCCTCAGCACAGGCAGAAGCCGTGACGCGTCACGCATGAGGGATGCAAAACGCGACAAGTGGCTCTCGACTGGGTTCCCCGTCAGAGCCGGACAGGAGCTCTCACTGGGGGCTGCCGGGGGCGAGCGTGTGCCCAGCAGGAGCGGGGGCGGCCCGCGCTCCTCACGTCCCCTCAGACCCTCAGGGCCGCCATGGCCGCCGCGCGGGAACCGCCTCTCGCGAGCCCCGCGCGCGCCGAAGCGCGGGCCCGCCCCGCCCCGCCCCCCGCGCGGCGCGCAGGCGCAGCGGCTGTTCCTCTATATAAGGGTCGCGCCTGCCCGGGCTCGCGCTGTCATCGGGAGGATGTCGCGATACGGGCGATATGGTGAGGACGGCGGGGAGACTGGGGAGTCTCAGAGGCCCGTGAGGGTTTCTGCTGTGGGCAGGGAGGCGAGGGGAAAGGTGGAGCGAGCGGCCGCGGCGTTCGTGCCGCTCCGGCGGTGGGAGACGGTGGTTGTCCCGTCAGGCGGCCGCTGAGAGTGGCGAAGGGCCGGGGCACGCCGGGCGCGCCCGCCGCGGCGGCGGGGTCTGTGGAGGGCGGGCGCGGCCCGGCCCGGCCCGGCGGGAGCGCTCTAAGATGGACGCGGTGTCAAAGATGGCGGCGGGCGGGGAGCGGGGGAGGGGCGGCCGCGTGCCCGGCGCCGCGCGCGGCTCTGACATGGCGGCCGCTTGTCCCCTCAGAGACCAAGGTGTACGTGGGGAACCTGGGCACGGGCGCCGGCAAAGGCGAGCTGGAGAGAGCCTTCAGCTATTACGGACCGCTGAGAACCGTGTGGATCGCCAGGAACCCGCCGGGGTTCGCCTTCGTGGAGTTCGAAGACCCCCGGGATGCTGAAGATGCTGTGCTTGGCCTCGACGGGAAGTACGTGCATGTTTGGAATTTCTTTGAGGGCCGCAGCCCTCGATCTCCCTACGCCGCACCAGTCAGGGATTTCTCATGTTGGTTGTTGGGCGCAAGAGAGGAAAATACTCCTTTGGCTGATAGCTGCTGTGTCTTGCAGGATAATATGCGGCTCCAGGGTCAGGGTGGAAGTATCCACAGGGATGCCGCGCCGCTCCCGCTACGACCGGCCCCCTGCCCGGCGCCCCTTCGACCCCAACGACAGATGCTATGAGTGTGGTGAGAAAGGCCACTATGCCTATGACTGTCACCGCTATAGCCGGCGAAGGAGGAGCAGGTACGTGCGGGGCCGGGGCAGCCGCGTTGCTTCGCCAGCTCGCTTTTGTGTAGTTCTTGTTAGCAAAGAACACAATGTTACACCAGTTTTAACTCTAATTGTCGTAAGTCAACAGGTGTATATCACAAAATTTTTTTTTTTTTGCTAATACATATAAAATGTTAATATTTTAATAATCAACCTGGTCAAAACCTTTCAGGTTTCTTCGTTTGAGTCAGTCGCCTTGATTCAGAATGTCACGAGCCTTAAGATTTCATGCTGAGGCGCCTTGCAAATCCGACACTTAAGATCCTCCTAGACCTTGAGGTGATCAGCATAAGAGGCCAGATCCCCTCGAGCCATCTACACGTAGCTTCACCTTATTCTTTAAGGGCAGAAAATTTGAGACGGTGACCGCCGTAACAGTAAATTTGGCTTTCAATTGGGGCCCCCCTCCGGTTTAGAAAGAGGAACACCAGATTGACCACATTCCCACCTAGAAAAATCTTCTTGCGTCAATCAAGCCTCACCCTGGCTCATTGGGCTGTCAGTTTGATCGTCGTTAGATTGAAGAGAACACCTACCTAGATGCAGCGCTCGCCTATAGATACTTCTAGATCGTCTAGATCTGCTAGACCTTGGGCCAAAGAGGGTCGACCTGCAAACTTGCAAGGTTTATTTTAAATACGCATTACAGTGTTTTCTATTCTAATGTAATTCTGCAATGTAATTCAGCTTTTAACATTTTTCTAGGTAGTAAAAATGCTCAAGACAAGTAGGCCCAGACATTTTTCCAACTGACAGATGCTAGTGGTGTGTTTTTGTTGTTTTGTTTGGTTTGGTTTTTGGTTTTTCTTTTTTTGTTTTATTTTTAAATCCTCTTTTTAGTTGTCTGAAAAAAGTTTTGACTTCAGCAGGGCCTCACAGGTGCTGGGTGCTGCAGCTGTCTGCTGATACCTGTTTTTTCTAACCTCAACCCAGGTCCCGGTCCAGATCCCGCTCGAGGTCCCGAGGAAGAAGGTATTCCCGGTCACGCAGCCGCAGCCGTGGTAGGAGGTAGGGCTCTGCCTTCTGTGTTTTCATTCCCATTTCTTCCTCTCTGGGCCCCTCCTTCCTTTTCTGTAGTTGTTGTGAAAAGTACCTTGCAGTGATGGGTTGGTTTTTGCTTTGTTTTGTAGATCCAGGTCGGCTTCCTACCGCAGGTCCCGGTCGATGTCTCCTCGTAGATACAGATCATTCTCACCCCGCAGGTCCCGCTCTGGTTCTCTGAGAAGGTCAAGGTACGTGGTTGCTGTTAAACCCACAGCATTGTTGAAGGGCACATAACGTGGAGCTGAACTACCAAGTACCTGTATACATATTTATAGCATCAGTAAGTTTGTTTTGCCATCCACGTGTTGGTAGGAACCTTTGTTGTGTGACATGCATAAGAGCTACTTGAATACTTTTCTTAGAATTTTAGCTTACAGTTTTGGAACTGCTGTTTCTGAGATTTTATTTTTTTCTTTCTAACATTGTACCAAAGTTACAGCCTTGCTCTATGGTTAAGTTTTCCAAATTCATCTTCAAATGTGCAGGGTGTAATTGCTTAGCCCAGTAAGACAGTGGAACTCACTTCACCTGCATGGCACCTGACCAAAGGTGCCACAGCCTTCTAATAATAAAAATTACTTCTGCAAAACCAAGTCCAACAAAGTTCTCAGTGTTCTGGGACATTTACAATAACTTGTTTTTGTCTTACCTGTATGAAGCATGTGGTAGTAGAGCTTCCATTGTTTTTTTTTCCAGATCTAGGTCCAGGTCACGCTCCAGGTCCCGGTCTGTTGTATGGCCTCGCAGCAGGTGAGACACTTGGATTAATTCAGACTAGTAATGGTTCTGGTGTGTTGTTTGGTTGTGGTGGTGTGTTGTTTGTTTTGGGGGTTTTTTCCCCCTTTCCTGGGGGAGTTTGTCTGGAAGCACTTAGAAGGCTGCCCACCAGAGCAATATTTGCACTTAATAATTTATGCCTTTTCACAGACAAAAGTAGTGATGTACAATTTAAGGTCTGTGGAGAGAATTTAGAAAAATATAAATTCTTAGGTATGTAGTAAATTGAGGATGGTTTTGTGTGCTGTGCTGCCTTCTGCTTAGCAGTGGAAGAGATGCTCATGCTGCTGAGTACCAGTTCTGGGTGGTTGTGAGCATTCTCATCTTCAGTAACTGTGATCCTGTAAAAAGTTCCTTGTTATGAGGGGGGAAATGGGCCAGACAGTGGCTCGGGATGGTGACCAGGAAGGTTTCAAAGCAGTGGCATGTAACATTTTGTTTAACATGCGCCAGCAGTGTCCTTGTAGTATTTCTGTGAGTTAATAGGCCACGTAAAGGTGAATATTTATTACCGTTCAAAAACAGTTTGGAGCAGAAGTAGTGATAGTATTTTGCTTTTTGGCCAGGCTTATTGAACGGAGCATTCTGATGTTGAGTGATAGCTTGAATTGTGACACTCAAGACATTTTTTAAGTAACAGCAAATATTTGAGTTGATAAAGTCACATAACAAATGTGGGAGGAAAGTTTCACTGTTCAAGTAGATTTTAATTCCTGAGATAAACTGGGAATAGTTTACTCATTAGTAACCAGATATTGGTGCAAGTTCTGTATTATGCTTGAATAAAATTGGCATTGGGAATTCGAACTGAAGAATGCACCAGCTCTTCAGCACACACACTTGTGGCTGATTCCAGCCTCCTAAGTGCTGTTAAAATAGTTTCTAAGATTACACTTAAACTATTCTTCCCTTTCTAGAAGGGATACTTGCAGGTAGGAAGGAAGCGTGGGAGTCTGGTCTGGTGTTTTGTGGAACTGGCAGAAGCTTTGCTGGGGAGCTTCCTGTGCTTGCACTTGTGCCTTCTGATGGGTGGGGTCTCTGCAGAAAGAGCTGAAGGATTCCCTTGGAAGGTCCTGGGGAAGGCCTGCAGCACAGAGCCTTCCCTCTGGTTGGTGCTGCTGCGTGGGGTGAATTTGCTGTTGCTGGTGTAGCTAACTCTCCATGTGTTTGCATGCCCACTGG